CCCCAGTAGAGGTGTTAAGTAATCTCAACACTGAGGGTACAGAGAAAGGAGAATCTGTGGGGTTTGCTGTAAACCAGCTCAGCTCCCAGTTGAGTGGGAGATGCTTTCTGAAGGAAATAAGTATCAGAGTGATAGAGCAGGGGACCCGGCATATTCCTTGGGCATCGAGTACACACATGACACACATACCTACAGAAATGCCTGTGCATATACCACTCAAGGGCACCCCACTCTCCAAGGCCAACAAAAGGGGGAAAGGAAACAGGTAAACAGAAATAACCCTGCTCTATGTCCTGTGCCTTAGAGGTATGAACTCTTTAAGGCTTCTCTCATGGTACTATGCACACAGATCTCTTGGCAGTCTTACTATACTCAGATTCAAAACTCAGTCTTCATTTCTCTTTTCTCTAGAAACCAGTTGTGCCTATGTTATTGGTCTGTTTTCCTGGAGAGCTAGGAAGCCTGAGTCTTAAGAAAACTCAGAGACATAATTGTGGGAAGCATATTAGAAATAGAAGGTTCTAGAATAATGGGGTTTTGCCACACAACTAAGAAACCTCACAGTCAGGGTTCTGTCCTAATTGTCTTCTCTTTTCTTCCCAGGTTGTCACTTAACTGAGTAGGAGGATCCAGTAATAAAGCTGCCAGAGAAGTAGGAGAAGCAGTCAAATGGAAAGAAGAATTGTATGAGAATGTTTTCCAATAAAATAAACTAGCAAGTCCATGTGTTGGGAATGAGGTATAGACAAGGAGAAACAAAGCACATATTTTGACACCAAGTTACATGATGCATGGTATATCTGGTGAGTTCTAGTCTACTCTGAAACCCAGCTCCCTACATTTCTGCTCGGTTTCATTTATACATGAATACACCTCAGCAAAGTCCCATTGCTAACTCTCATAACAACTCCTCCCCACCAGGTATTTCATGTTCCTCATTCAGTCGGAGAATCTGGAGACAATAGGCTAGGTCTGGGTCCTACCATATCCCTTAGTAACTGTGCAAACACGGGCAAACCCTTTAGTTCTTCTGTGCTTCAACTTCTTTGTCCACAAGATAGTGAACAGCTGCAGAACCCAATTCACAGGGTTCTATGAACACCTAAATCAATTAACAAGAGTAAAACACCCAGGACTCTGTTAAAGTGGCCCATTTCCTAATTACCTTAGTTCTTAGATCACCGTTTGTTTTCAGTAGCTACAGTATGGTTTATTGGAACACTTGAACTTCATTATTTTGAAATCCACATGAAATGTTACATGATTTGGTCATGAGATACTCATAGTTAAAGGATATGCCAAGAGTCAGTTCATTACCCCTTTTGGGAAAAAAGGAGGCCAAGAGTGATTTTTCGTTCAACTCTTGAGTCAAGTAGATCAGATTAAAGTAAGAAATTACATACAATTTATTTTCATGATGTTGGCAATAAGTTTGTTCTTGGGGTTGGAGAAGATGGAGGTACAGTTGTAGAGAGGCCAAGTTGGATGTGAGCATAGATGTTCATAGGCACCCACCTCACTTCTACTATAACTCATTTGCAACTGGCTATCCCAGGTGTCCAAAGGTTATTATTGACACACTGTACTATCCCTCGTATTCATCTTCTCAGCTACCCTCCTTCCTTAAAATCACTTTTCTGGGACGATGAAAGAGAAAGCAAAATGACTGGGGTGTCAGGTCCTGTGTCACAGAAAAACTGTCAGGAAGTGCTGCCAAAAGCTATTTTCTCCTGGAAAGGAAACACCCTTTTGCACTTTGTAATTCATGGGTGGACCACAAGAAAGTGAAAATAGCTAATGTCTATGGAACACTGCCACTCACACATAGCAACAGCCTTATTTACAGATACAGGAATCACTACTTTCTGCTACTCCCTGGAGCACAACTTTAATGCTGGGAAATTTCATAGGATCACAAACATAGAAGGCCAAATCTCCAGGTGGCTTCCCTCCAACCTTTAAAACTGGAACAACAACCTGTGCACGCGATTTCAACTGACTCTTCCCACAGTCCCCTCTGCTCTCTCTGCTCTCACCCAAAGTGATTTGAGAAGATATCAGAGGAATGGTTTCAAGTAAGTCTCTGCCCTATTCAAATGAAAAGAATCTGTCTGGATTTTTTAAAGTCAATCTATGTCCCATATATTTTGCCATAATGAAAATAAAGTGGCTTAGAGAAATCTGCATTTATTTCTACTTGTAAGTAGGAGAATTCACTTTCCTATTCTCCAATAGACCTTTATCTTGAGGTTTGTGCAGTATTGAGCCACCATCCTGATAATAGTGAAAATACAGAATACTCCTCAGATTTTCCCTTTTGTAACAGCCACTATTCTATGTGTTCTGTTTGTACCAGTTCCTTCATATCTAGAGCAAGTGATAATTCTACCCATTTGTCACAGAAGGGGTAGATTAGCTTCCTTAGTCCTCATAACTATTAAGTACAAAGCTCCTTTTCTGGATCCCATGCTTGAAGCACCACCCTACACTTCGTTAGGCTCAGTTAAGAGTCAGCAAAAACACTTGCAATCAGAGTTCCTGAATCTCTTGTCTTATACTCTGAGGTTATGTGCATACTTTCTTTGAGTGATAATACAAGTAGATAAGTACAGATAACAATGATTATAACAATAAGTTATACAATAACAATAAGTGTTATTAAATAATAAATAAGATACTTCTTTGTAACTGGAGTGAAGGATTCAGGAGTAGGGAAGAGTCTCCCACAAATTTATATTCAAGTTGCATTGCTCGCCCATATTTTGAGTCATTTAAATGACCAACTAGCAAAAGACAGGCCAGCATGTACCAAGCTTGGGTTTGAGAATCAAAGTTCTGTGAGATGAGTTCAGTTCTTTGGAGTAATCAAAGAATGAAATGACCTGTTTGTAAGTTTATTTTTTTTCCTTTCACTCTTTTACAGAGACTTACATAGATGATGTATAAAAAGAGGAAATAAAATTAAAAATGAAATACCAGCAGGTTCAGTTCTCAACAGTGAGACCAAGAATGGCGGGAAAAAGCAAATTTCCTCACTGGTGTGAGCCCTCAGATGGTTTTGAACTTGAGCAGCTGTTTCTAGAGTTTTCATCAGGACAAAAGAACGAACCAAGCAAACCACTGTCTGTTTATTTGAAGAAGTGATAGCTTTCTTAAAGATTCTGCTTAAAGGAATTTTCTCATGTGGATCTTCTTTTGGAAAGCTCTAGATCATGACTATGCCATGTCCTTAGTGACTTCCCAAATACAGGCAGCAAAGAATCTTACATGTCTATTTCTCTAAACTATTACAAGACTCACCGCTCACAGTTCAAAGCCAGATCATCGGCTTTGCCTCTAAACAAGAGGGAGGTAAAGAGGTCAGGAGAGTTGGGGTGTGAAGTTCAGGATGACGCCATCCCATCTGTAACTTCTGATAGTTTAATATTTCCAAAGAGCAACTCTGAGGTATCACTTCTTTATCATGGTTATAATAGGTCAATCCCTTTAAGAAAATTAGGGAATTCACAGCCCTTCTGTATTAAAAAGACAGACACAGATGCACAGTTTCCTCTTCAGTCTTAGAGAGCTGATACATCTCTTGCATTCTATAGACAATAGCTGGCCACAAGTCTTCGGATTTCAGAGGAGAAATTATATCTGGAGGAATAGGCAGACTTGTGTGTTTCTTGCAAGAATTCACAAGTGTCATTACTATCACTAACATACTTGATACGTACCAGGGAGTTAGTTGAAAAGGTAAATATGTATAATCATAGAAAAATATGAACAGTTAATTTATTATAATAGGAATTAATTAGGTAACCCAAACAAAACTGTCTATAGTGAGGACAATATTTCTGTTTCTATATACTAAGCCACAGACAGCTATGTGGAGAAATTAAATTACTCCACAGAAATAACTCTGTGTCTGTGCTAGCATATAAATCAATGAGTTATTAAATGTCTAAGATTCTTCACTCTCAAGTGTTTCCAAGTTAACTTTGGCACTGACAATATTCTATGTAGATAATTATCCTGACAAATGCTATGGACTAATGAAACTGTTGAATTGAATTAATTGCTAGATGTACAGAAACTTTTAAAAGCCTTTTCTAGATCTTTCGTGTTGCAGTTTCACATGAATTCACAAGAAACATTAAATTAAATCAACACTCAACTTTAGATATATTATTATCTATAAATTGTCTTAAAGGGTTTTGTACAGTTTCAAATCTGGAGTTTTATGAAGAATAAATAATTCATTTTGTTCTTTTTCTTTTAAAGGTTATTATATTGACATATAACAGTGGGAAAGTGGCATTAAATTAGTTAACATTGTGTTATCTTAGGAAGACCTATAATTCAACAGTTACCCATTTACTCAAGAAGTATTCTTTTTTTTTATTGTGAGATCAATATATTTTCTTGCTGGAACTCCAACATTTTCTTGGCCCTTTATGAAGCCCATAACCCTTGGTCTCTGATCCCAAGGAAGTAAATCAATAAAATCACTCAGTGACCAGCTGAGTGAGTCTGAGTTAAGGTTTTAATAGATTGAAACCTTCAAACTTAGAAAACTACAGAAACTTCTACTTAGGGAAAGAGCCAAATGGCAGACTACACCAGTGCAGCAGGAGGGCCTGGAGGAACTAGGGGCCCAGGATTAGGAGGCCATGGCAGCTTCCACAGAGGCTTTGGCAGTGGTCTCAGGAGCCATGGTCATGGTTGAGGTCAAGAGGTCAAGGTCAAGGCCAAGTCATGGAGGTAAAGCTGAAGACAAGGAATGGATCCCTGTCACCAAGCTGAGCCCCCTGATTAAGGACAAGAAGATCAAGTCCCCAGAGAAGATCTATCTGGTCTCCCTGCCCATTAAGGAATCTGAAATTATTGATTTTTTTCTGGGCACATCCCTAAAGGATGAGGTTCTAGAGATCATGCCAGTACAGAAGCAGACACGGGCTGGCCAGCGGACCAGGTTCATGGTATTAAGTTTGTTCTTTGGCAAGGTATATGTGTTTAAACTTTCACTATGCATAGTTACTCTAGATTTCACTGGTGTGACTTTCGGACCAGGAGAGAGAGAAATGAGTTCCTCAAGTGCCTTGGATTGACCTCACAGTGGCCTCTCTTTCCTAGAGGAGGACCACAGGTCCTAAAAAGAAAACTACAAAAATATACTTTTGATTCTAGCATTGTTGATTGCAAGTCATTATATATATATATATATATATATATGGAGAGAGAGAGAGAGAGAGAGAGAGAAAAGCACCTCTCCTAAGATTTATACCTTAGGCTATTAGAAAAATTTTTAGGCTACTGGGTGATGTCCCCAGAGGACTATCCTCAAGCTCCTGGGAGTTGTGAAAAAAACATAGGTTTTGAACTTGTAATAATTGAGCACCAATATTGAAGTTATACAACTTATCCCATAAACTAGTTTCTACATATGAAACTTACAGGACAAGCATATCATAAAAGTTCAGGCTGTATTGAGCTGCGGAGTTAAAATATTATACTGGATGAGTCAGGCCTCATGACAGTTGCCTACAAAGACAGCTCCATGCAAAACTGGAGTAAGAGGATTGCAAGGTCAGCCACCACCTGGGCTACAGAGTGAGTTAAAATTCCATTTAACTCACTCTGGCAACTTAACGAGACATTACAAAAGATGAAGTTAAAAATAGTTGGGATAAGCAGAAAGGTTGAGTCAGGGGAAGAATAGATGATAACAAGAATGGAGACACCATAATAGAGGGAGACATTTTTGGTTTACAGAGAAATCAGGCACTAGGGAAATGTCTGGAAATCTACAAAGACGACACCAGCCAACAATCTAAGCAACAGAGGAGAGGCTACCTTAAATGCCCTCTCCTGATAATGAGATTGATGACTAAATTATATGCCATCTTATAGCCTTCATTCAGCAGCTGATGGAAGTAGAAGCCGACACCCACAACTAATCACCGAACTGAACTGGAATCCAGTTGCAGAGAAGGATGAGTGAAGAGCAAAGGGGTCCAGACCAAGCTGGTGAAACCTACAGAAACAGCTGTCCTGAACATCGGGGAACTCTTGCTCCCCCGAGTGATAGCTGGAATACCAGCATGGGACTGATCCAGACTCCAGGAACATGGGTTTCTATGAGGAAACCTCAGAAATCTACAGGACCTAGTTCACCCTAGCATATGTGTGGACTTTGGGAGCCCATTCCATATAGAGGAATACTCCCTGAGCCAAGACACATGGCGGGGGGGGGGGGGGCGCTAGGCCCTATCCCAAAGGATACAATAGACTCTGATGACACCCTATGGAAGGCCTCACCATTCAGGGGGAGCAGAAAGGATATGTGATAGATAGGGTTTTAGTTGGGGGGGGTGGTGGTAGAGCAGGACAGAAGGGAGAAGGGAACTGGGATTGTCATGTAAAACAATCCTGTTTCTAATTCAAATAAAAAAAAGTTGAAAAAAAAGTTGTGATATACATCAGTGGTACATTTTTAAAAACTTTTTTATTAATTTATTTTTTTACAATCCAATCCATTTCCTCTTCCCTCCCCCTGCTCCACCACTCCCCTCTCCACCTCCCATCTGCTCCTCAGAGAGAGGATAAGGCTGAGCAAGGTATCTTTCCATATAGAATGGGCTCCACTAAGTCATTAGAGTTTGTGCATTAGAGTTAGATCTTGTTTCCTATGCTCAGAAATGAATGAATGAATAAATGAATGAATGAATGAATGGATATATAGACAATAGATAGATTAGATAGACAGGTAAATGTTTGATAGATATGATCAATATATGCATAGAGATAGACAGATTTAAAAGGCATGTCTAAAGTTTGATTGCTGCCTTATACAAAGGTCAAGCCTTTCATAAGGTTTATAGATTTTAAGCTAGAAGACATAGTTTATAAAGATTGTTCATCAATGAAGGGATAAATAGGATCAGTGAAGAATTGTGTTTAGAAAAGATATCAGATATCTTTAACAGATGTATTGAAGTCTTTTCCCTACCTCTAGAAAGATGTGTTGCCCATATCAAAAGCATGATCATTTCAGTTTTTGTCTGTTTTATGAGCTGGGCTTCTTTGTAAATTTTCTTTACAAAAACAATTCTAGTTCTTTAAAATTTGCTACTATGTGTTTTAAATCCAATAGGGTTAGAGTTTCTTAGAGCTGGCCAAGTTAATATCACATCAGTGAAGTTAATTACAATTAACCTATTGATGGTAGAGATGTGAGCTCAATACAATACAATTCTATATTAACAATATAGATTTGACAACAATTGATCAATACAGGCTCAGAGAAGTTCTAGAGGCAAAGGGGTCTTTATTCAGTACCATCATTAAGACTTTGGAGCAATGAACTACATAAAAACTTTTGTCAAATCTCATGTTTCAATTAGTTGAGAGACTTAGTGTTGTTATCTTAAGAGTGTATTGATAAGAAAACACACACACACACACACACACACACACACACACATACACACACACACCATGAATAGATAATCTTTCTTGCAACTGAAATACCACCATCTAAAATACAGTTTACAAAACTTTCTGGGGAGAATGAAAAAGTTTAGGATTAACAAGCTACATGTAAATGGTGTGGAAAAATGAAGAGTAGTTCAATTTTTTTTCTTGTTGTTGTTTTTTCTTTTTCCCCTCACTGTGTCATTGTGACTAAATTGTGTAGCAGTCACCCTTCTTCCCTCTTAGGAAAGAATGAACAACAAGCTGGAAGAACTGAAAGTAAGTAAAAGAGAAAGAATGTGCTCCATCTTCCCCAGGCACAGTTTCTCCAAAGCAGCAGAACTCCAGGCTTGCACACATCTGAGAACATCAAGAAAGAGGAAGTGAATAATAATAGGAGAATAGTGAAAAGGAAAATAACCATTAAAGAACTCAAGTTGTAATTTATTATGGTATTAGAAACTGATGTTTAACCAGAGCATTTATCTAATATTAATAGTCCAAATAACTACAAACATAATTTCTTTTAAAAACATCCCACCATGGTTCAAGAACTGGATTGTAAGCTTAGAGTAGGGGTAGGGATTTCTAATTTGTAGCACCTGCTTGTTTCCATAATGTTAGTTTCCTCGTGTTGACCATATGTGATGTCAGATAATTCTGTATAACAAAGGAGGCACAAATGCTTCTCAGAAACCAGTTTAATCCTACTCTAATGCATGGTTGGCTCTGGCTGCCATGGTGAGCCTAAGAGCAGCTAGCCATCAATATTTCTTCCTTAACATGTATCATTAATCCTCACTTCCTCAAAGGTGAGTCTGACTGTCCAAATGCAGGGTTCACAGAGATCATGTGCATGGCCAGGGAAGTAGAAGGTCTAATGCTACATTGTCTAATATACTAGGTATATCTGAACAGGTATATTTAAATTTATATTTAAAAAATAACGGGTGAAAATCAAATTCCTCAGTTATGCTAGCCATGTTTCAAGAGCTCACTAATCCTAAGTGGAGAAGATCTACCATACTGGAAAACATAAATCCCATCACTGCCAAAGTCCTATAAAATGGTGTCAGGAGTTTCTCTTTCCTGTTCTCTTTCCCACTGTTCCCCTGGGGCAGCAAGGATTTTTCCTGTCTCCCTCTTCTCTTCTGTCCTCTCTGTGTCTCTGTACCTCTTTTCTCTTTCCTTCCCCCTCCCTCCCCTTTCTAATAAAATTTCTCACTTAAAAGAAAATAGTGTCAGAGCTTTTAACCTGATTTCTAAAACTCAAGTTTAATAGTCAAAGCAGACCAGTTTATCTTGAATTTTTCTAAAAATTATGAGGATGGATCAAAGGTAATTACTGGAAATTTTTCTTTGAAGTGAGTTAAGAAAAGATTTTTAATTCCCCCATTTTCCTTTTGCCTTCTATAATAATTTTGGTGATTGGAGAGATGGTTGACTGGTTAAGAGTATTGGTTGCTCTTCCATGAGGTTTAGGTTCCATTCACAGCACCCACATGGTAGCTCCCACCATCTATAATTACAGTCCCAGGAGATCCAAAGCCCTCTTTTGGCCTCCATGTGGTACACAGACACACAGACACAGACACACACACCCACACCCCACACAAAACTTTTTTTTTCTTTTTTTCTTTGAATTAGAAACAAGATTGTTTTACATGTCAATCCCAGTTTCCACTCCCTCCCATCCTCCCCTACCACCCCCCTCCCCAACTAATACCCTACCTATCACATATCCTTTCTGCTCCCCAGGGAGGTCTTCCATAGAGGGGTCATCAGAGTCTATCATAAACCAGTTTCTTTGGGATAGGGCCTAGGCCCATCCCCATATATCCAGGCTCAGGGAGTATCCCTCTATGTAGAATGGGCTCCCAAAGTCCACAACTATGCTAGGGATAAGTACTGAACTACTACAGGAGGTCCCATAGATTTCCCAGGTCTCACTAAAACCCACATTCCTGGGGTCTGGATCAGTCCCATACTGGTATCCCAGCTATTAGTCTGGGGAACAAGAGCGCCCCCTTGTTCAGGTCAGCTGTTTCTGTGGGTTTCACCAGCCTGGTCTGGACCCCTGTGCACATCACTTGTCCTTCTCTGCAACTGGATTCCAGTTGAGTTCAGTGATTTGTTGTGGGTGCACACACATTTCTAAGCCTGGCTTGTAGTCCATTTTCTCAAGCAGCAGAGATGAGTCTAATAAACTCAAAAGTGTGACAATAATTTCACTGAAGTAGCAATATTGGCTGCAGCTGGTAGGCTTACAGCTGGTAGGGAAGAATTTCCTTCTGAAATAGAGCCTCGAGTCAATTGAAAAGCAGAAAGTGTTGAGGGTAGGGTGTTAGGAAACAAGAACACAGAGCCAGGGAACCACAGAGAACATCTGACCCAAAAGAAGGAGGTGATCTACAGGAGAGGAGAGGAAAGTCTTTGACTCCACCATTTTAGCAAAAGTCTTCCCTTGGGACTTCTTCCCTAAAACATTACCATTTCTCCAATATCCTAGTGCCACCTTTCACATTTCAAGCGATCACTAGCTCAACTAGTGTCTGGAACCAGTTGCTTTTCCTTGGTCCACATTTCCTTCTAAATCAATAGTTCTCACCCTTCCTAATTCTATGACACCAATACAGTTCCTCGTGATGTGCTGACATCTCAACCATAAAATTATT